ATTTTTTTTTTTTTTTTGTCTGAGCAAGTAAAATGCAGCATCTAAGGAATTCTAAGAGCATTGCCTGGGTGTGCAGGGAAAGCTTCCTGAGGGGTCTGGTGTTCATGCTGCTATCAATCTGACCAGGAGGAACCAGGCAAGTGAGGAAATGATGGCGTTTAGAGGCAAAAGAGCTGCCTAGGAAATTTTCAGGAGGTTAGTAAGAAATAGAGAGCTTATTAGGGGAAACCACGGTCTGACAGCAGGCCTCTGGCTCACTCACCTGTCCAGCCTCAGCTCATGTCCTTCTTAGCCAACATGAGGCATATTGAGGGTTCCAGGCCTCTGCATCTCAGTCCCTCACTAGCCCACCTCCATCCAGCTCCATGAGAGACTAGATATGGTAAAAACTGTATTCTGCCATCGTGTGTATAGAGAGGCATTTTCCTGCTATTCTGAAAGGAGCTATAATCCTCTGTCATCAAACAAGGAGCAGAGAGTTGACACCTGGTGGACAATAATTATTGTCCATTTCTGGCCAAACTGCAGCGGAGCCTCGCTTGGACTCTGCCTGGAACCACAGAATGTCTAGACTGCAAACCTCATAAAAGCAATAACTGCTGCTAATAATCTCTAAAGCTGTGAGAAACATGTTAAAAATAGAGTTACAGAAGAATTTTTGTTCGTGCCTCCCACAGGTTCTGGCAGGTATGGCTTGCTTAGAACTAGTGGCCGATAGGATCTGAGTCACAGGATGATCGGAAGGGAATTCTCAGGGGTAGCTTTGCGCTTTTACTCACCAGCAGTCTAGGAACATGTGGGTTATTTCAAATGCTGGCCATGAGGCCACCGTGCCCTGTGTTGGAGGCTTCTGTGTGTGCCTTCCGTCATGTGGCATTGTCTGCCTCTTAGAGAAGGGGCAGAGAGAACTCAGTTTAGCTCCAAGGGGAGGCTGTGTTGGATGGAAATAGAAGTCCCTCAGGATTTTAAATAAGTTTCAGCAAGTTTATAAATTAATTGTGCTTTTGTTGTTGTTTCCTTCCAAGTCAGAGAACACTTCCCCACCCTCTGCCCTGATTGCACCTCTCAGGGGTTTCCTTTAACAGAGAAGCTAATGGTCTGCCAGGTGCAAGGTGTGAAGACAAATGTTTCCACTTAGAGGCGAATGCATCTCCATTACAAGGGATCATGACAGTCTCAGAAGGAAAGACTCTGCAATGGATGGATTTTACTCGGCCTCCAAGAAAACATGGCAGTTAGATGCAACCAGGTTCTCTAAAGGTTCGGGGCTGCACTGTTATAACCCAGGGATTCTAACTGCATAGGAAGCCTGGCAGTGGCAGTCATGGGAAGGGTGGCATGGAGACTCCAGCAAGTTTGGGCACCAGTGATAACCACTAGCTATTACTTACCACGTCCCCAGGGTGTTCCTGACGTTTAAGCCACGGTTTATATACAGCTTCTAATCCTCACAACGACCTAGTGAGTTGGGAACCGTTTCTCTGATGGGAAAGTGAAGACCTAGGAAGTTAAACAAGCTGCCGAACACCTCACAGTTCATCAAGGGTAGAGCACTGATTTGAACACAAATTTGGGTAATTCCACAGCCCAGCCTCCCTTTGTCTCATTAAATGATGGATCGTACAGTTCAGCAATCTTTAGCACACCACGGGACTGCTTGCCTTGGGGTTGATATTATGGTTTGAACAGTTCTGTATCCTTGAGGCCAAGTGAGAAAAACTGCTGCTGATAACAAACATGCATATATTCACCGGGCCTCTTTCATGAGGTTTTCTGGGCCTTGAAAACAGTTCTGGTAATTTTCTAAACCTACCAGGGCCCTTGGGGACTTTTTGGAGAGCCTGCTAGGAGGAGAGCCTCAGTGCTCTGGATGCTGTAATTTTCATCGAATTCATGCATAATCAAGGTGTAGCACACAATGTTTTGATGTATGTATACATAGCAAAATGATGACYGTAGCCGAGCAAGTTACCTGTCCTCCTCACACAGTTACCACTTTATGTCTGTGGTGAGAACACTGAGATCTACTCTCAGCCAATTTCCAGGATACAACACAGCATTGCTAACCATGGTCCCTTGGTCCAGATTTGTTCACCCTCCCTAACCGAAACAGATATGCCCTTTGAGCAACATCTGCCCACTTCCTCCACCTCCCTACGCCTGGTAACCACCACTCTATTCTGTTTCTGTGAACTTAACTTTTTCGGATTCTACATATTGGTAAGACCATGCATCATCCAGTATTTTTCTTTCTGTGTCTGGCTTTTTTCATTTAGCTTAATGTCCTCCCTGTGGTCACAAATGGCTGGATTTCTTTCTATTTCAAGGATAAATAATACTTCATAGCGCGTGTGTGTGTGTGTGTGTGTGTGTGTGTGTGTGTGTGTGTCTTTTCTTTTTTAAATCCATTCATCTGTTGGTGGATACTTAATATACCCATGCTCATTCCACTAGCATACAGCTGGACTCCGCTAGCTTGCGGCTGTGCTGGGGACCTTAGGCAACCAGTTGAGCCTGTATTCCTAGAGGTCACTGGGGTACCCTTCCCTGTGTTCTTACAAGAACTGAGTGGAAGAAAAATGGCATAGAGGAGGGCCAGTGGCCAGGGAGGAGCCCTCGCTGACTCACCCCTGGAYCTCTCAGACCAGCTACCATTGCAAGTGCCTTTTTCTCTGTCCCTCTTCCTCAACTGTTGCCTTCTTTACCTCCTTGGATATTCCCAGAACACCCTTGGAGATGCTGAATCTGAAAAGAACCCCCATTTGTGTGAATGGAAATGCAGAGGTGATGTGACTCCATGCCATGGACAGCATGGTAAAGGGCACCTGCCAGCCCAGGGAACACCCCTGGGGCAGCAAAAGCTCCCCAGCCTTCAAAGTCAGAGCTTCTAATCATGGCTACCAGTGCTACCGTGGGGCCCTTCTAGCAACCCACCTGGTAACCAGCATTTATTGAGCACACCCTGGGCTGTGGGCCTCAGGTCTGTCCCTGGGCTGTGGGCCTCAGGTCTGTCCCTGGGCCTTCCTTACACGACACCATGTTACAGGCAGAGCTCCCACTGAAGACCTCATTTCCTAGGCTCCCTGGTCACCTGGCTTCCCACTAGCTCTGCCCAGAGGGAGGCCGGAGGGTGGCAGGTGGAAAAACTAGGTCTTCTCCTCTACTGTTTCTGCCTGGGACATCTCCTGCAGTGTCTGAGTGTCCTTGGCTCCAGCTCCTGCAGAATAGACCTCTGGGGTTCCAATTTCTACTGAGGATCCCAGCAATGAAGACCCCTTCATCCTACCCACCCAATGGTGGCAGTGGCCTCCTGCAGCTGCTGATCTTGGGGTGCCCCTGTTGGCTTCTCCTCTCTCCCATTACCCATATAAGCCACTCCTCATGATGTTCCCTCTATTTAGAGACTTGGGTCTTGGCTGGCCCTACAGATTCATATATGTTGGTTCTGAATGAAGGCTTTACCGGCATTCCTTAGAACAGCCCCCAGGGACTCTTGTTTTACAGATCAGAACCCTGAAGCTCAGAGATGAGAAAGGACTTGGTGTCTCATGACTAGAGAGTAGTTCAGCCAGAATTAAGACCTACTCCTGTCTAGAGCAAGCCTGGGCTCCCACTCACTCCTCTGGTTGCTACTTTGAGCTTCTGTTTCCTCATATCTAAAAGAGACAAAATAGGTCTACAGTGCAGCACTGTTTACAGGGAGGGAGGGAAAGGGGGAGAGCGAGAGTGAGCCTGTATCCATCCACATGCCTTGGGATGTCTCCATGATGGGTCCCATCTTGACACCCAGCCTCAGTGGGCTTGTGCTGCCAGTGAGTCCTACTATATGCTTTTTCCCAGCCAATGTGGGCTGGTGGCTCTCCCTGCAAAATCAGCCAGTAAGTGATGGGCAGTACTCAGGGATCTACACTGTCTAGGGCATTTGGTTGCCCCGAGCAAGGGGCTTGAAAGTTAACTCTCTTTTGGATTTGTGTGGTTTTTTGTTTTTGTTTTTGTTTTTGTTTTTGTTTTTGCTCTAAGTTCTTAGAGGTTTCCACAGGTGTGGGTTTTAGGCTGCCGTTGGTAGAATTCATGGTTTTATTATTTCCTAAAGAATGCTATTTATTTCTTAGTCCTTCTCCATGAAAGAGAGCTCTCTGTATTAGGAGATGAATAAAGACCAAACTGCTAACACCGTCTTTCTGGTTCCAGAGATAGAGCCATTCTTTCCTTGCAGCCCAGAATGCAATCTTGAGATAGAAAACTAAAACTAGCTTTTCTTTTCCCCTAATCTCATGGTATATTAGAGTCAGAAAACCCTCAAACTTCATCTAGCACAGAATAAGCTTCTATTTTGCAGAAGAGAACAATCAAGGCTTCTGGAGATTAAGTGAACTGTTTAAAGTCCACACAGTGTGTTGGTGGCAGAAGCAAACCTAGAACCCAAGGTGTCTCATTCCCCATTATGGGAAGGGGGTGTGTGGCCTGGATCCACAAGCAGAGGTAGAAAAGTTGCTCCATGTTTGTCATCAGCCAGATCCCAAGATGACACTGGAGGATCCGGTTAGGACCACAGCCCTGTGTTTCAAACAGTTCCAAATCACTTCTGTGGTTGCAGAAGCAGACTTGGCATAGCTGTGCCTTTCCGTAAAGATTTTGTCCACAAATATCTTAATTTTATTTACTAGGCTGTCTGGCACATAATAGCATGCATTATTAATAGAGTAGCTAATACCATCTATTAAATAGGCACACTCTTTGCATTGTAAAATGAGCCTCTCTTTTACGGTGTGCTTTACAACACCATGTGAAAACAGCATGTGCTCAGAATATTCTAGCAGGCTTCCATTTGACCTTATGTGAAAATACAAAAGAAGGGGCCAATGCTGGCCCATCTCAGTGTCCTGGTGATGAATGCAGAAGCACATCTTTAAGCCGCATGCTCTCCTGGACCAGTGTGTGTCTGAAGGGCTTCTGACAGGGTGAACCTCTGGTTCTGAAACTCTTATTCTCCCCCACTGCCCAAGTTTGTCCACTACCTCCAATGGTGAGTCACGGAGATTTCATCTGCCACCCGCGGCCTTGTGAGCGCTACAACCATGGAACCGTGGTGGAGTTTTACTGCGATCCTGGCTACAGCCTCACCAGTGACTACAAGTACATCACCTGCCAGTACGGAGAGTGGTTCCCTTCCTATCAAGTCTACTGCATCAAATCAGGTGGGTCCTCGGAGGAGGAGTGGCAGGCCCTCCCGGGACTGCTTGTGTCTGCTCCCCTCCCACAGCCAGCATCAGGAACAGGCTGTGGAAACGTGTTGCCTATATGTGGGGCTGGGCTGTCCTGTGCCAAACGATTCCAGGCCCTGTACCGAGGGTCGGAAGTACTAACCTGTCCATTCCCAGGTTAAAATGCTGGTCCTCTGGACAGGGTCCCTAGACCCTTGGCATCCATGAAAGGACCTCGGGCTCTGGTCAGTTTTCTCCCATCCTTGGCAAGGATACAGGCAAGGATACAGGCCTGGGGGTGTGACCAGAATCCTGCACCCTGCCCTGGGACTCAGTGATGCACCTTCCTCTTCCACTAATGAATGTATGTGAGAATACAAACGATACTATGGACGCTAAGGCTTTTTCTCACTTACACAAATGGAGGTCATTTTCACGTTCCAGTGCTTTCCTAACTTAGTGACCAGTTACTTGGGAACTAGCTTCACCACTCAGCCCACCAAGGTAGTGACCACATGACAGAGGCCTGGGTACCGGCATGCCAATCTCCTGCCCTGCCCTGCCCACTGTCTCCAGCATTTTCCAGACCATGGCCATGGCCATTGCTCCAAGCCACAGTGATGGCTGCATGCTGCCGCCCTGGACACAGCACGTGAGGGACATGCTTTGTTAATACTGGGAATCTGGAGGCACACAGGTGTCCACGTGAACCAGCAAGGGGAGAGGTGCACAGAATAAGAGGACGGCCACCGAGCATGATGAGAGGAGGGAGGAGGAGGCAGGGGACGGGGTAGCTTGTGGCAAAAGGCTGAAGCTCTGTTCTGGAAGGTTCTGCTCTTATTGAATCTTACTTTCAGGCACTCGATGGACAAAGTGAGGCTGAGAGCTTTGGGACAGGCCTGTCCCCTTAATCCTCCTTTTTTGGCTTTATGCTACCACCCCTTACCCCAACCAATAACATGTCCCAGAACATCACCAAGGCCTATAGTCCCACTCCTCCCTCCCCCAGCCCTTGGTCCATTTCAGAACAACTTCCTTCAGAAAGAGGACCCCTGCCACTCTCTGCACAAGGAGGCCCATTATTTAGGTCTATGCCAGGCTCTCAGGCCAGGTATCGAATCTGAAAGGAAGGTCTGTCTTCGACCCCACAGAGCCCGTGCTGCAAGATGGGTTTTTAGTGTTGTGTGAATCCTAATGTGATTTATAGGCACTGTGCCAGGTGCATGGTGTCACTGTTGAGCCCCAAGGGGCCAATAGGTACCCTCTGGGTGTCTCATGTGCCAGATGAATCCATCAAAGGAACCTACGGGGACTTTGGCACCTGTCACAGCACAAACCTATTGCATGGTTCTGTTCTCTCAYGGCAGAGCAAACATGGCCCAGCACCCACGAGACCCTCCTGACCACATGGAAGATCGTGGCATTCACGGCAACCAGTGTGCTGCTGGTGCTGCTGCTTGTCATCTTGGCCAGGATGTTCCAGACCAAGTTCAAGGCCCACTTCCCCCCCAGGTCAGTGCAGCAGAGAGAGCATGTGACAAGTGTGAAGCCAAGGTCCTTGGGTGGAACAGGGAAGAAACACCTTCCTGGAATGTTTTGGGGTATCTGGGGGCCAGAGCACCATGGGCCTCATTTGTCCTTCCCCCAGGAGAACATTCTGGGGCGAGTATTGTGAGGGCGAGAGAAGGGAAACACATGAGGGCTGCCTGGTGCTCACTGCCCCACAGGGCGCCACTCCCACCTTCATGTGGCCCTGGAGGATGAGACATGGACAGAGGACAGAGGTCCTAGGTGTGTGTCCAGCAGAGGTCAGTTGTGTGTATAATGGGCAGTCACAGGAGGGAGAACAGACATGATGGGCAATCAGGAAGGGGCCAGTGAGCCTCTGCCTGGAGTCTAATCTGAGCCTGCTGAATGGGATATTTGGAGGGTATATCTCTATACCSCGACCCCGTGCCCCACCCACTGCCCCTGTTGGCTACACAAATAAGCTCAGCCTGGTGTCTTCACCCCCTGTTATTACCATAACAATTTAGGACCTAATGCCTCAGAACAGGGCACTTTCCAACTAAGAACAATCTAGCTCCCAGGATCATGCAAACCACCCCTGAAAGGGGGAATCTTGCTTAGGGAAGGAGAAGGCTCCTGGAACCAGCCACCTCCTTCTCTCCCCTCCAGGAAAACCCAGTGTCTCTCTCACAACTCCCTATGAGGAAAGGGGCAGCTTATTGGGGACAACATTCACTCCCTTTTCCTTAGCCCCACCCCTCCAGGGCAGGACACCTCACTTCCCTTAGCAATGCTAAGTCAGGATGTGTTAGTCAGCTTTGTGGTCACCATGATGAAATGCCTGAGATAAACAACTTCGAAGGAGAAAAGATTTAATTTGGACACAGGGTTCCAGAGATTTTATTTCATGGTCTGCTGGTCCTATCACTGTGTGCCCGAGGCAAGGCAGAACATCACGTCAGGGAGCACACAGTGGAGCAAGGCTGCGGAAGTCACATTAGCCAGAAAGCAGAGAGAAGGGCATGGGAGAGAGGCTCAAGTCCCAAGATCCCTTTCAAGGGCCCCTGTGCAATATCTGATTCCTACCACTAGGTCCCACTTCTTAAAGTCTCCACAACCTCGCAGTAGCACTATCAGCTGGTCCTCAACACAAGAGCTTTTGGGGTGGATCCAAGTCATAACAGTGAGTTAGCAGCAGGAGCCCCACAGGGTCACGTCTTATAGGCATGCCACTTTTCCTAGCCATGAAAGTGTGCTAGGTCTAGGGTCACCTGCACCCCTCTTCATACCAAAAGATGTGTCTGTGCCACCCTGGTGCCATCACCAAGCCCATCCTGAAGTGCCAGAAACTTCCTTCCTCTCAAACCTGCCATCCCTTCTGAGTCTGCATCATTATTATTTATTAATCCAGGAACCATGTTCTATCACTGAGCAATTATGGTATCTCAGAAAGGCCGAAGGATCACAAAGAGGAGGCTAAATACACAGCTGTGATTTATAGTACATTAGAGTACTTTAAAATGGCCCGCAGAAGCTATTTTTCTACTTCTGCTTGGAAGAAGTTTCCAGGATATCGACTAAATATTAAGATGTTTCAAAAATGTTCTCAAAACTCTTTCACTTGATGTTCTAAATCCCTTGAGTATTTCCGTCTTGTATTATTCTCTTGTTTTGGAAAATTCGATTCCATCTGTCCAAATGGATGGTAAGATTCTCAAGGGCAAGTCAAGAATGAAGATTGTTCCCCCTGTCCCAGGAATACAGACACTATGGAGATGTTTGATGACAGGGCATATGGCAGCTGAGCAGCCTGGTTGGGGCTTAGCAGGTCATGGGGGACGCTGCCTGAGCACAGGCCATTAGGGCGGTAAATGGAGAATACAGAGAGGCCTGTCCTGGACAGGATGACCTGGAGGTGAAAGGGAYAGTGAGGAGACCTAAGTGAGAAGAAGAGGTCCTTTGTCCAGGATGCACTAACTAGTGGCTCTAACAGAGGCAATATCAGATTCCAAATATCCTTCTCTCCTGCCTGCCACCCTCCAGGGAGCATGGGCTTTGATAATCTTCCACCCTCTCCGGGTAGCCTTGAAGAACTATAGAGTAAGGAGCTTACCACCATGAGCCATAGGCCTTTGCAAGATGTTTCTCATAGTGGACTCCAGACCATCCTTCAATCATTAGAGAAAAGTGCAGTCAGATACTGTCCTCTACCTCAGGTGCCATGTCCAGACCTTTCATATCTTTGGGATTTGGAGCCATTAGCACTTGGGGATTCAGGCTCCTCCTGCCCAAATGGGTCACCTTTCCTTTCTGACATGTCACTATCTGACCTCAAGGCAGCTCAGAGCTCTAGCTTTCAGCAGAATCAGTAAGCTCTGTCCACCACTTACCACTCTGGGTTCCTTCTGGAGCCAGGAACAGAGTGCAGTGGTCCGATGGAGCCCGGGGTTGGTGTCAGACACCACCTGGGCGTGAGCCCAGCTGTGCTGACCATGCAGAGTGATGAGATACACAGGGGCCAGGCCCGGCCCCTACATGCAAGTGCCCCTACATGAGCATGCCTGTGAGGTGACAAATTGGCTTCCCAGCCACCACCGGAGCCCTCATGCCAGCAGCACAGGCTGTGCATAAGCTACCATGCTGGAGGAGTCAGGAGGTGGCCTATGAACCCACACAACTTGAATGAGGAAGTCAGGTCAGAGCGTGCTCCTAGTCAGACTTTTTCATTTTGTTGTTATTCTGTCTTGTCTAAAATGAGTGGTTTTTATACTATACCAGAAAACAAAACAAAACATWTCAGGCACAGACTAGTCATCTTCCACGGGGCACTTAGGGTCCACCATTCCCTGGAGATTTCACGGTGCCACTCTGCTTTCAACAACCATCCCGGGAGACATAGCAGAGGCACCTTGGATATTCTGCTAGATTGGGTCACGTGGTTCCTTCCCTTCCACACACAAGTTCATAGCCCAAACCCAGAGGCCAAATTAGGGAGGAAAGAAGTACAGGAGGTAGTAGATCTCAGAGGCAACAGGAGCACTGAGGCAGAAGGACACAAGAGTGACAAGAGCAAAACCTCTTCCCTCTCAAGCATGGCCATGGTGGGCTTCACTGTCTGCCAGAGCAGACCCAGAAACTAGGCTGGTTCTTCTGCACCACCATCCATGCAGGTCTCTAGCACCCACTGGGAGCCCSAGCATCCCAGCTCTGGTGGGGAGCACTGGAGTAGCCTTCTGACTTATTGACACCATTTCCTCCACACAGGGGGCCTCCCAGGAGTTCCAGCAGTGACCCTGACTTCGTGGTAGTGGATGGTGTGCCCGTCATGCTCCCGTCCTATGATGAGGCTGTGAGTGGTGGCTTGAGTGCCTTAGGCCCCGGGTATCTGGCCTCAGTGGGCCAGGGATGCCCTATACCTGTGGACGACCAGAGCCCCCCAGCATATCCTGGCTCTGGGGACACGGATACAGGACCAGGAGAGTCAGAAACCTGTGACAGCACATCGGGCTCTTCCGAGCTGCTCCAGAGTCTATATTCACCTCCCGTGTGCCAAGGGGGCACCCGCCCCACCTCAGACAACCCTGACTCAATTACTAGCACGGCGGGGGAGGTGGCATCCACCAGCCCGGGCATCGACATTGCAGATGGTAAGTATTTGCCCCAAGGCTGAGCTGCACCTGTAAACACCTCACACCCAGCATCGTTAAGCCAGCCCCTTGCTGCGCACAGCCCGGCTCCTTAGCGCAGGGCTGAGTCATTTGCCTTCCACTCAGCTCCCATTGCTTTCTGCTTTCGGTAATAAGTAGAGGCTTTGGCCAAGTCCAGTCATTGTAAGGAATGATTATCATTTTGCAAATAATAGGTCCACTAATGGAAATTTTAGGAGACCCAAAGGGCACCACGCCATCCAGAGTTGAAAGGCTACAGTGGCCCTGCTTTAGTTTTGTAGCAGGTATGTGATACAGGATGTTTTCCTTCTCTATCCCTTAATTAGGCAAGGCTTCTAAAAGCAGAGCTTAGGAACAGGATAACACACCCAGGCAAAGAGAAAATGTCAGGGCCCTGACAGTGTCCCAGCCCCAGAGAAGTGCTGTGTATATAGAAGTTACTTTTACCCCATGTGAGATAAAAGGTGCTCATGCACCTGTCACGAGGAAGGGCCGAGTACAGCTCATGGAAAGGGAGGGAAAATGTATCAATTATTTAGGGATCTGTTTCCCAGGGGAGGAAAGCACCAGCCCAACTTTGCAACTATGAATTCTATTTTATGGTATTAGCAACACAGAAACAGAGGCCTCTTGGGTCCCCACACAGTACCTTTCCTGAAAACCACACTGCCATTCTGAACTTGAATCTGTCCCTAAAGTCTAACACGTTATTTTATTCTTTTAATGAACTGGGAATAGGATCACAATTGCTGTCCAGCAAATAGATGTTATACCAAAGAGTTGGCTTATGTGATCTTTCTTCTCCTCACTGATTTCTGGAATTGTCAAAATTCCAAATTGCTATGGTGTTTTTAGTTATACTAAGCTCATAAACATGTCTTCTTTAACAGAGATTCCTCTAATGGAAGAAGATCCCTAACTGGGTGAACGCCTCAAAATTCCACTGCCCCTTGGGGAAAGGAATCTTCAGCCTTGAAGGAAAAGCCACAGACAGACAGAGCTTGAGGGCATGAGGGACATTTTCTAATCTATCTACATGGGGACAGTGATTCACATCATACATCTCGAACTCAACAGTGAGGCTAACAAACTGCAGGGGCAGTGCTTTTAAAAGACACTCGAGGATTTGATAAGACCAGTGGGGAACGGAGTGCAGAGGGCAGACCCCTGTGCTGTCCTGAAGGGAGGTGTTGAGTGTGCTCAGTCCTGCGGAACCTGGGGCAGTGCCATACGCACCCACTGCATCACTCATCCTGTTGGCCTCTGTTATGAGTGCTCCCTGCCCCCTCTGAAAGCATGTCACRTTTTGTAAATTTGCTTCTCAAATCTGCTTCAAACTGTTGCTGGACTCCAAAGCTGGACGGGTCAGCCTCTGCAGAAAGTCCATGTTGAGCTACCAGAAGAGGAGCACACCTCCCCTGTGCCCTCAGTAAGGGACCAACTTCCAACAGAAAGGCTCTCGGATGACATTCAGACCATCTTCCTTCAGCCGGGAAAGCTCTACTCAGAGCAGGATGTGGCGGTCCCCATCAGAAAGGGAAGGAAAGACAAGCAGACTCTACTTTCTGGCAATTTCTTCAAGGAGGGGAGTTCTCGTACTCTGTGCCACGGAGCATCAAAGCCTCAGCGTTTGGTGATGGAGCATCAGTATTAGTGTTCGTGGTATGGCACATGGATCCCTGGTGTTGGCTAAGTCGCGTGACTTTACATATGATCAGAATGTGTTCAAATACATCTCATGGTGGAGAAAGTAACTAAGGTAATGTTTGGTTTGGGACTTTTAAAAAGACTCCATCCAACAGTTGACCTGAGTCATGAGTTTCTTTCTGGGTGACTGTTATGTTGTTGCCCTTACTCCAAAACTTAGACATATTTTTATTTTCCAAAACAGAAATTGTTTCTGTAAACATATTCTTCCTCCCAAAGAAAGTGAATTCTTTATTCCCCCTTTATTTTGTCCTGCAGAATCAGGAGGCGCCTCCCAGCCCCAAGACTGCCCTCCTCTCTTGCTTCTGGGGCCTCGAGCTGCCTCTCCTGCCTGCCATCCCTACAGTCCTGCTGCAGGGGTCTCAACAGTGCCCACTGGGTGTTGTTCCTATGAAACTGATGATTGATATATAGCAAACAAACAAACAAACAAAAAAATGCCCTGACTCCGAAAGTGTCTCTTCAAATATATGTTGGTTTGTGGAGTTGATTCCTTTCCTCCTCTGGGTTTTAGACAAATATAAACAAAACTCTGATCCATAAAATTGCTGTGCCGACAGAGCAGTGAGGGCTGGAAGCTTGATTGGGTCCTGGTTTTTTCTTGACACAGACTGATTAAAAATTAAGAAGAAAATGTCAGTTTGAAGCGTGACTTTAATAGTGGAGTGGAGTTGGGCGGGCAGGAAGCCAGTGGCAGTGATCATGGGTGATGGGAAGAAAAGGTGGGCTTAAGAACTGGAGGCTGGTCTGGGGTTGTGGCTCARGCATAAAGCGCTTACCYTGCACGTAAGRTAAGGGTTCAATCCTCAGCACCACATAAAAATAAATAAATAAAATAAAGGTATTGTGTCCAACTACCACTAAAAAATAAATTTTTAAAAAAAGAACTTGAGGCTGACCAAGAGGACACCTGGAAAGGGCTTGCCTAGCCATCACCTAATGCAGAGCCCACCCTTGGAGGAGGTGCCATCAGCAGTGACAATGGCGTTGAGCACGTGGTTACAGTGCTGGCAATTAGAGATGGGGTGACAGCCTCACCCTGCCCCGGCACAGCTTCATACCACTGGTCCCATTTATTTGAAGGAGCCGGTATTCACAAGGGCGGGTGGGTGTTAGACGTCACATGGCCTGATAGTGTGGGCCAGATGGGAACAAGGGAAATGAGCCCTGTGTGGGCAGCCTCCACCCASGAGCCAGAGCTGGGCTCTTCTCCATTCTCACACCTGTCCTCCCTCCCATGCCTCCTACATGTAGCTGTGTCTCTGAGACCACTAGGTGAGTGTTCCATGTTCCATGGGACACACAGAAGGAGGCATGCAAGGCTATCTCTGTGGCCTCCCTTGCCTTCTTCCAGAAAACGTGGCAGCAGTGGACAGCCACCAAGCACAGGAATGCCTTGCCAGCCCTAGCCCTGGGGGRAAAAATGCCACAGTGCCAGAGACTTCAAGGTATTCGTGGCAACATAGTTCTAAGCACAGAGGCTGGCGGGAAGGCAGAGCATCTTAATTGCAACATCAGACAATGCCCAACCAAATCTCCAGGATACTCCTTGCCATCCCCGTACTCTGTAGACACACCAGCGATCCCGCTACAAATATTTACAGTGCTGTGGTTCTCACTACTGTGAGCATATGTGGCAAGAAAGAATCCACATGGTATTCCAAGCATGTCATGATCCTGGCTTTCATTTCTATTAAAAGTCCCGGAGGCCCTGGGTGTAATGGAACAGAATCACCTTTCTCCTGCCACCTTCTGAGTGCAGACAGATCTGGCTGTATGGTGACTTGGTGCCCTAGCCATGCACTGTGTGAGAGAACCATGCCAAACACARATGCCCTCTGCCTCAGGGGAGGGCTGCCTGGGACACACAGCTGAGAAGCCCAGGGTGCTGTGACATGCCAGCCCAAGGTGTCCGCCCGAGTGTTCATTCCAAGGAAGAGCAGAACAGGTGTTTTCTGGCTGAATCGCTCCTTCTCATGTGCACATCAGAAGTCACGGGTATCTTCACACTTCATTTCCATGTAGATTTTTTTTAATTGCAAGGTTGTGATTTGCTGGTGTGGAATCTTTAGGTCCTTTCCCACCTAATTTCACCTGGCCCAGCAGCTGGCATGTAGACAGGGCTGCTGTCTGTTCTTGCAGAGATCCTGGTACAGAGCCGCCCTGCAGGTGCAGGTGGGTCAAATGCAGAGGAGGCTCCTGGACCTCAGCCTACTCCCACTCCTTCCTCCCAAGTCCAGGCCCAGCAGCATGCAGTTCCCCTTCCTCTAGCTGTTCCTCACAGAGGCTGCACAGCATCATGTGAGAGAGTGGGCTTTGGAAGGAAGGAGACAGACATCACCTGACTTCAAAACCTGCCTCCTTCCCTACCTGGCTGTGTACTTGGTCAAGGCATTGACCTCCCTGGACCTTAAATCCTAAATGTAGCATTTGGAGATGGTTTGCCTTTGTCTTCCTCGATGGACTGTGGGGAGGATGATGGCTAATGTTAAGTCAAGTACCCAGTACACAGTGGATATCTGATGCATGGAAATTATTGTCCCCTTTTTGAGTGGGAAGAAAGTGTCAAGTGAGTGATTAATGGCCACATGCAAACCCAGATGCTTCTGACCTGCCTTGAACCCTTCAGGATCCAAGGTGTTTGCAAGTAAAACTTGCTTGGGGTTTGCTGAAGCAGACTGGAATGAACTATACCTGTTCCCCTGGGAGCCCCTGCTTAAGTGCCCATCCCTGGCTTGCTGTATGCTAAGATTTTGAGCAAATGGAAATTTTCAATCTTTACCCATTAGGCATGTGCCCGCCTTCCCAGCACATCCCATCTCTGAACGCTACACAAAGTTCTGCTCAGGGAGGCGGGACAGCCTTGGAAATTCCCTCAAGGACCCTGAAGGACTCATCTCCACAGGCAACCCTGTAGATTATCACTAACCTGCTTCCCTAATTTTATTGTCTATTTTGGATTTAAAGCATAAAAGTTAATGCCTGTACATTTTCAAGGTGATAACTKGGAAAGTCTGCGGTCAAGATGCCTATTCTAGCAGGTAAAATAGGGCCCTGGAGAGTGACAGTCACTTATCAGGGAGGGTGAGTACCAAGCACGGTGGTATTGAAATCATAAAACTTAATGCAGAGTGTGCGCATCAACAAGGGGTTTAACTGCCATAGCAGGACGTAAAGCAGCCCACGCTGGGCTGGAAACCAGTCCCCGGGTACCTGCAATACATTATTTTAAGTGGCCAAAGGAGTAGCCCAGCTAACTAAATGGGAGCCACAAACCCACCTCACTGTGGTGTTGATACCTMGTCCATGAGCTTCAAGCCACTTGGTAGCTCACAGAACACTGAGCTGCTGGTCACCCAAGGCCACTAGAAAAAGAAACCTAAGCACTAGCAGATGCATCGAGTTTGGGCAAGGGAGATGGGATGGAGCCTGCGGGAATCGAGACTAATATTTTCTGCTTGGAGCTGATAAGTATTTATAGACCCTGTTTTYATCAATAAATATTTCATAAGTACATATTCCATGCCAGGCTGTCTGTGCTCTTCAGTCTAGGAGGCAATAAGGACTGGGAAACGTGCAGCTATGACCTGGGAGCTGCAGGAGGCCTCACTGTAGGCGGGTGCTGGATGAGTTCGGGGGGTGCACGTTGCATGCCCTGTCCCAGGGGTGAAGAGAGGAGACTGGGTTTGGGAGATGAACACTGATTCTGCACTTTCAGAGCCTAGGATTGGGGTTAGGGGTGGAGAAAAGGAAAAGGGGGGAGGTGGTTGGGCAGAGGGGCAGAGAGATGGAACTGCAGAGGTCAGTGAGGGCCAGTTCATAAAGGGCCAGGAGTTCAAGCTAGGGAGGTAAATGGTTTCCCTTAGGGAAAAGGGGAAACCTCTGAAAGTGGGAAGAAGAAAAGTTGCTAGGGTGAGATGGGGAGGAGTGAGCAGGTTTGAGAACTATTTTGCAAGTCAATTCAGTTTTACTGAGTGTGACCCTAGGACTTAGGGTCTCAGGGTGTTAATGAATTATTTGGRTCTGGAATGTCCCCTAAAAGCTCATGTAGAAAACATAGTCCCCAATACAGCAAGATTGGGCTGGGGGTCTAGTTGAGTGGCAGAGCACTTGCCTAACAGGCCCTGGGTTCAATCCCTAGTGGTGCCAATCCCCCACCCCCCTTCCAAAAAAAAAAAAAAAAAGCCAAGAAACCCAGTGTACCAATGCAGCAAGGGGATTTGGGGCAATGATTGTATCGTGAGGACTCTAACTTCATCAGTG